GCTGGTTGGAGAGGCAGGGGTCTTTCCTCATTGAGTCATCACCAACAAAGGAGACTCCTTCCTTGCAGTCAACCAGGCAGGCATCTTTTATACTTCGTGGTTGGGCAGTCTGCCCTGGCATCTAAATAAGCAAACCTCCCACTTCACATTAGGAGAAGGGGGTTCCTTAATCTCAGAGTTCAAAGCACCAATCACCTGGGTCTGGGTTCCTCAAGGTGTTTCCCACCTGTGCGTGTGCCAGATCCCTGGGAGAGCTAGTTACAATTCAATTCTTGGGTCCACCCCAGGCTTCTTAGTGAAAATCTTTGGGGGTAGGGCCCCGGAATCCACATTTTTAACAATCCCCGGAGGAGATTCTTATGAACATCAGAATTAGAAAGCAACTGCCCTAGAACCATGTAACTTTAGTGTCCCCTATGTATTTCTTTTGTTCTTTAAGTGTAGCAGATGGATTGAGTGTCTCCTTACTCTCTGTGTCGTGGCCTCTACTGTATGTCTAGCATCACACACAATTCCACAGTTTATTGGGCGGGAGCCTCAGGGAGTAGGTCCCTGTCCAAGTCAGCTGGGGATTTTCCTCAGATCTTTCCAAAAGCATGACTCGCACATCTGGATTGGGGCTGCTGTGGAATAAGGGCCCCTTGGTGCAATCAAGCTCAGCATCGAGGGTGGAGTCTGAGCTTCCAGCAGCTGCTAAGAAGATTGGGGAGACATATTCAGACAAAGCAAGTGGGGCCTTGAAGAGGTTGTGAGCTTCTCAACTTCCCTAGAGGAATGGCAGGGAGATGGCCCCTGAGGTAGGATGTCAGGCTGGCCCCGGCTCAGGGCCTGGGAGCTCTCCGCTCTGGGCTGCTATAGCTTGTGTTTCTGCTGCAGTTTATCCTTCTCCTCCATCGTCATCCATGCCAGTGCCCACGGCCCCCAGCCAGGCAGATCTCCCCCTCTATCCCACACCCTGTTCCCACTGGGTGTCCAACTCCCTCTCATCTGAGGTGGTGTTACCTGAACTGGCCACTCCCGCGGAGGCTGCTGGGACCCAGATGAGATGGCTCTGGTGGCCCCTCAGCTTAAGAGCCTTAAAGCTATCTCCCCCCACTCCCCTTTGCATCCCCCCTTCTCTCCTCCCCCACTTTATTTCACCCCTCGTCCTCTCTCCACCCACCTCTTTCTTTTGCCCTTCCTGCCTTGATAGAGTGAAACCGACATTGTGTTCCGGCTTCTTGTGGTCCTGGTAAATAGCTCTTAATGTGGCCGCGGTGGACAGAGAGAAGGGCGTGACGAGAGTGTGTGTACCGGTGTTGGGGCGGGGGTACTTACCTTTATCTTTGATGGGGGCAGGAGGGGTTTGTGCCCCACAGGTCATGCCTGCCTGCTGGAGTTTCAGCAGAGCCGTGACTCTTGGGGGCTGGACAGATCTGGGATGGGCCTGGGTGTCCTCACATTCTCCCCTTGATGGGAAGAGGAGGACCACTCAGTGAAGGTGCTCAGGAGCAACTGGTCCCTGCTTTGAGGACAAGAGATATTTCCATTTGTGTTTAGCAAACAGGATGTAATTAAACAATTCACACCTCTTCGATTTTCTTTCTGAGGCTTAGTGGCTTGGCAGATAAGGTTCCTGATGCTGCTGCAAACAGTAGCCCATGTGGGGATCAATTACATGCAAACAGTAGCCCATGTGGGGATCAATTACATGGCAGAATAAGTTTAATATTGACATTTTCAAAATTGGTGAAGAGTGGGGCCTGGCCAGACGGAGAAGGAAGAGCTGAGATATCAGGTGGCGGTCATCAGTGTGAGCCCCCCTCTGGCCCTGGGGGATGCTTTCTTAGCTCTTCTGCTGAAAGCTCTTCTCTTATGAACCATTAGCGATGTCCTGGGCGGGCATGCTCTAGGATGCAGCTTTGCACCTGTTGGCTCTCATTGCCTCCTGGGTCTACGTGTAAATGGGGCAGCCGCTGCACATGCCAGCCTTTGCTTTGTAGCCCCCTCGCCACTCCCCAGACCATGTCACCATGGAATTGGGGAGACGAAGGGGTACAGGGGATGGAGGGGACCACAGGCCCAGGAGGGATGCCCTGGCATTTCGCAGCAGAGGGTGCTGCAGAGTGGGGCCTGGACCCAGGTGTGGTCCTGCAGCTGCAGGCACAGAGAGACAGCTCTTCAGATTCCTGCTAACTGGTCTGAGGGCTGCGTCCTCTTCACTACTTTTCCCTCTGGAAACAACCAGCTGGGGTCTCTTCTTTTTATGTGTAGCAGGGAGCCCACTGCTTTGAGGTACACGACATGAAGGGCGGCTTCTCTCATCCTACGGCCTGGACTCCTTTGGAGAAGGTGATGGGAGATGGGAGAAGCAGTCATGCCTGGACCTACATCTCAGCAGCCTTAAGGAGGCCGGGCACAGGGGCAGGTTGGTGGAGATTCAGCATGAATCTCAGCCATGACCCCTTTCCAGTTCAGACCAGGCCCCAGCCCTGCAAGCTCTGGTGGCTGCAACATTCTGGCCCCGAGTCATTTGGGGCTGGTTGCTGGCTGAGATCCCAAAGCCTCAGGAAAAACTGGGGGCAATGACATGGTTCTGGAGAGTTCAGTGAATGGTCAGAGCATCCAGTCCCCAGCGTGTGTGGGTGTGTGTATGGGGGACGCATGTGCCTGGCGGGGCATCTCTGTGCTAGCTCTCGGTGACGTCACTTGGCTGGCCTGTGGTTTGTGTGTGTGTTGATCAGGATGTTCCTGTTTTGCGGTCGTCTGATCACTTGTTTTTGGCCGTGGGCTTCTGTATGAGTGTTTATTTTTAGAGGTTGCCACTTCTGCCCTCAGGGCTGATCCCTGGGCATGGTAAGAACATTTGTATTTTCTGAAATGTTTGTGGCTTTAAATTTAAGTATTCATTTTAGGTATTCAATTTAAGTATTCCTGCCTTTTATGTGTTTGTTCTTCTGTGTGTGTGTGTGTGCGCATGTGTGTAATATCGGAGAAGTGTAGCATAATAAAAATTACATGGTCTTTGAAGTAAATTAGTTCTGATTTTAAATCCCGGCTTTATCAGGTCCTATGTTTTGTGAATAAATGGTTTCCTCTCTCAGAGCCTCAGTTCCTTCATCTTTATAACATAAAATACTACCTGACTCTCAGGGTTAGCAGTAGTGTAGGCAGGAGGTGCCTAGCACGGTGTCTGGCACACAGCAGTGCTCACTGCACGTTGGCTATTATTCTCAGAATTTGCACGTATGTGTCTACACCTGTGCTTTCTGACTGTGCTTTGTGGTGTTATGTGGGTACCTAGTGAGTGTACATGTCTGGATGTTGCTGATGTGAGTGATTCTGGTCGGCATGCATGTTTCTGGCTGTCTTTGTGTCTGGTTCTGGTATGACTGCTGGTGTCTGGGCTGGAGTTGGTTCGGTCTTTGGGAGGGTTTTTTTTTCCCTTGCCAACTGGGGGCCTGGATTGGAGTAAGGGGAGGGGAGGTGCTTGTGTGTGCGTGCGCGTGTGCACGCATGTGTGTGTGTGTGTGTGTGTGTGTGTGTGTGTGTCGGGGCTGGAGGCTGGGCTGCTGACTGTACAGGGTGTGAAATCACTGAGTTCCTCTGGGTGGGGGAAGTTCTTCGTTCCTGAGTCAGCCCTTTGGCCCTGAGCCACCTAGTGCTCACTTTTTCCTTTCGGAGACAGTATTGCTCACGGAGGTCCCCAAAGCAGTCTGCAGACAAAAGGACATCTCTCCCTGATGAAGACCTCTGCCGCTGTGTTCTCGATCCCTGAGATGCTTCCCCCACTGCCCTGGTCCCTGAGCTCCCTGCTGTAGCGCCCCACATGGGCTGCTCTACGCAGAGGGAAAGTGTGTCCCCTCTGGCTCGGGGATGCTGGCTTTGCTGAACCTTGCCTTGGCTCAGCACATCAGGGGTCCTTGGGCTGGCTGGGAGCAGTGGGAACCTGGACACTCATTTTGCAGGCCTGCTGGGATCCTGACCTTTCCCTGACCAGTGTTTCTTCCCTGGAGGCTTGGGTGGTGTGGCTGAGCTTGCTGGTGGTGGGGCAGGGGTCAGTGAGGACTGGGAAGTACTGGGGGAGGAACCGGGAGAGGCCTCTGGAAATATGGCAGTGGGCGGGATGAATGGCATTTTATGTCTGAATAGTTCTAGAATATTCTTTGTGTTGAGCCAGAGACAAACTCAGTTGTGGAGGCATGAGGGCATGTTTGTCTTAGAGAGCCCAAGCCTTGCCTTCAGCCTCCTTTTCAAACCCCTGCCCCCTATCTTGGGAATGATGTACCTTTCACTGTACCCTACTGCTCTGCTAGGCTCTTCTCTGCTTCCTTGTGCAAAGGCTGCTCTCAGTGGGTCTCCATTCTTATGTGCGTTCAAGGCAATGGTTACCTCTCCTGACATTCTGCCTCTAACCCAGGGTGGAGATTCTAGGAATCGCAGCAGGGGTGAAACTTTCTGAGATGGGGCAGTGGAGGGGACCGATTATGTTCTGGATACCATCATTCAGAAATTAATGATGTCTGTAATGGTGGTGGTTATGGCTCCCAGCTGTTGATCATGTGCTGGGCACTGGTCTCAGCACATGACACGTTTCAACTCATTTAAACTGGAATCATTGTGTGTTCAGTGAATACCGGCAATTTCATGTGGTTCAACCTGATTCTATTATTATCCCCATTTGAGAGATGAGGAAACTGAGGCCTAGAGAGTAATTCATGTCTCTGTGGTCAGGAAGCTGTAAAATGCCAAAGCCAGGCTTGGGGCTGGGGCATTTGCTCTCAGGACCCCACCCCCTGTTCAATCTTAGGCTCCACTGCCTGGCCCTGAAGCTGGGTGTTGATGAGGGCCCAGCCTGAGAGCCTGGGGTACGGGTCCTTCTGCCCCACTGCCGGGTGGTGAAAGGAGGTTTTAGCAGGGGCTGGGAGCTCTTAGCTTAGCTCCTTGCCTCAGGAGACGGTGTCCCTACCCTGCACTGATACCTGCTGTCTGTTGTCTCGCCCCTGCGCTCTCCCTTGTAGAGGTGGTGGGACACACCCAGGGGCCGCTGGATGGAAGCCTGTATGCCAAGGTGAAGAAGAAGGACTCCCTGCACGGCAGCACCGGGGCTGTTAATGCCACGCGTCCCACCCTGTCAGCCACCCCCAACCACGTGGAGCACACGCTGTCCGTGAGCAGTGACTCAGGCAACTCCACAGCCTCCACCAAGACAGACAAGACCGATGAGCCTGGCCCCGGGGCCCCCAGTGCCCCTGCTGTCCTGAGTCCTGAGGAGAAGCGTGAGCTGGATCGCCTGCTCAGTGGCTTCGGTTTAGAGCGAGAGAAGCAAGGTGCCATGTACCACGCCCAGCACCTCAGATCCCGCCCCACAGGGGGCCTGGCTGCGCCCTCCTCAGGCCGCCATGTCGTGCCAGCCCAGGTTCATGTCAATGGTGGGGCCTTGGCATCTGAGCGGGAGACAGACATCCTGGATGATGAGTTGCCCAACCAGGATGGGCACAGCGTGGGCAGCATGGGCACGCTCTCCTCCCTGGACGGGGTCACCAACACCAGTGAGGGAGGCTATCCAGAGGTCCTGTCTCCACTGACCAATGGTCTGGACAAGCCCTACCCCATGGAACCTATGGTCAATGGTGGGGGCTACCCCTATGAGTCTGCTGGCCGGGCGGTGCCTGCCCATGCTGGCCACACAGCCCCCATGCGGCCCTCCTACTCCGCACAGGAGGGTTTAACTGGCTACCAGCGGGAGGGGCCCCACCCAGCCTGGTCACAGCCAACGACCACCCCCCACTATGGCCATGACCCCAGTGGTATGTTCCGCTCTCAGTCCTTTCCGGAAACCGAGCACCAGCTGCCCCCAGCTCCAGCCCGTGGGGGCAGCAGCCGGGAGGCCGTGCAGAGGGGGCTGAATTCATGGCAGCAGCAGCAGCAGCAGCCTCGCCCACCTCCACGCCAGCAGGAAAGAGCCATCTTGGAGGGTCTTGGGCCCAGCAGGCCTAGCCCCCAGCCGTTGGCAGAGGCCCCCATCCCTGGTCTCCCTGAGTTCCCGAGAGCAGCCTCCCAGCAGGAGATTGAACAGTCCATTGAAGCACTCAACATGCTGATGCTGGACCTGGAACCAGCCTCAGCCGCTGCTCCCCTGCACAAGTCCCAGAGCGTCCCAGGGGCCTGGCCAGGGGCTTCCCCACTCTCCTCTCAGCCCCTGTCTGGCTCCTCCCGCCAGTCCCATCCACTGACCCAGTCCAGATCTGGCTACATCCCCAGTGGGCATTCCTTGGGAGCCCCTGAGCCAGCCCCACGGGCCTCCTCAGAGTCCGTCCCTCCTGGCAGGCCTTACTCACCTTATGATTATCAGCCATGTCCGGCTGGGCCTAACCAGGGTTTCCGTCCAAAGAGCCCAGCCTCCTCGTCTGCCTTCCTTCCAACCACCCACAGCCCTCCTGGGCCTCAGCAGCCCCCGGCCTCTCTCCCTGGCCTCACTGCTCAGCCTCAGCTCCCACCAAAAGAAGCAACTCCAGATCCTTCCCGAACTCCAGAGGAGGAGCCACTGAACCTGGAAGGGCTGGTGGCCCACCGGGTAGCAGGTAAGAGCCTCAGGGACCATCAGTCCTGGGAATTGCCTCCTCACTCCCTCTACCCTTCTCTCTTGGGTCTTGGTTGGTCTTGCTGGGGGTAGCTCCAGGCAGAGCCATGACCCGTGAGCAGGCGCTGCTTTAGCCTGGGGAAGAGGCTCTCAGGAGCCTATGCACTAGCCGTCCTTTCCTGCATTCCTTGTCTATTAGACAGCAAGCAGGCACCGAGATTCAAAGACCAATGTTTATCAGTTCCTGCCTTCAAGGAATTTACAGTGTAATGAGAAGACAGGTACCCAGACAGATAATTCTAAGAGTGCAATGTGTGCTTGGGGGGACTAAGGCCTCAGAGCCTAGGAAAGCAAAGCTCACCACCTAGGGCAATCAGGGAAAGCTTCCTGGAGGTGGTGACTTTGGGGGAGTATAGATTTTCTAGACAGAGAGGGGACTCTGTGATAGCCTGCTGTGCTGTCTGTCCCCAGGCTTCAGTTCCTTGGGGAAGGCATGGAGAAGGCTTGAGGGAGGCCTCTATAGACTTAAATTCCCTCTTAGGCCCTCCCAGATGTCATAACAAAGCCTGAGATGGTATCCTGAATCCCTTGGCTCTCTCACTGAGTGTTCAACCTAGTGGGGCCTTTCAGGATATTTGTCTTGGGGGTGGGGGGAGGCCAAGGTTCCCCTTCTTGGTCAGCTTTCCTATTAGTCCTTGCTTAGGATCAGCTCTGCCTGGCAAGCAGTCACTGAGAAACAAGGCTCCTTTTCCTTTTCCTACCAGAGAATGGGCTTATCTTTCTGGAGAGAGGAGAGAGAGTGGGACAACCAGAAGGGCTGGTGGAGATAAAGGCAAGAAATGGCAAAGTCCAGGGCCGTGTTGGGAGGGATAGCTGTGGGGCTCCCTTCATTCCCACTGGCCTAAGCCTGTGACTGTTCCACGGGGACAGCCCAAGGGTGGGAAATCCTGTGGGTTGATTTTGTTGTGGAGTTAGTAGGGCCTTGTGCCCAGCCCCTCAGCTGACAGGGTAATGGGAGCTCCATGGGGAGAAGAGGAGCCCAGGCAGCTGGCTCTGTCCTCCACCCCCTTCCCTAAATTTAGGGGAGGCTGAGTCACCATGCCAGCTGCAGGGAGGGAAGGAGATGCCCTTCCTGGGAATGGACTGTGGGTTTGGGGAAGCAGCTCAGGGCAGGCCAGCTGACCTTTTTGTTGGGTCTAGGACCTGGGTGTGGTAGCATGGACACCCTGCTCCTGTATTTCAGAGCAGAGCAGAGCTCCCAGTTTCACTATTGACAGTTTGAAATTGGCCATAGTTGGAGTATTTATACCATGGAAATTGTCATTCAGGGCTTCACCTGCCCTGAAGAGCTGGTCTAGCAATACATTATTGCTTTTACCTGAGCATCAAACACAGGCTGAGCAGCTTGGTAACTCTAGGGGTGCAGTGCTCCATGGGGTGGTCCACAAGGGGCTTTGACTTCCGCTTTCTCCCACAACTAGGCCCCTGAGATAGGGACACCCCCTGGCTGCTTTGTCAGGAGACACTCTTTTCCTCCTTATTGGGAAGAGAGGAATTGGACTACCCAAATTCCTTAGGAATTTAATTTCCCTCCCAATATTTTACACAGTTGGGGTGGCAGCCTGAAGAATAGTGGTGGATTAGACTCTAGTCTAATGCTGGCAGGATCCATCAGACTTCTCTGTGTGGGGGCAGAATGAATGTCCCCCCCCTGTGGGAACCCTTTAGTATAGCTCTCGTGGAGCTTGCTCAAGAGGAAGCCATAACCCTGATGGCCCTGGGAAGATGTCCATCTTATAGTGGACCTCCTCTCAGCCATTTCTCTCCTATCACCTTCCAAAGTCTTGACTATCAACTTCTGTATCCTGTAGCCTCTCAGGCTTTGGCTATCATGAAGTTATAGGGAGGGAAGGATATTGTTGGCACAGTGACCTCATTCCCTAACCCTGTTACCATCTACTTCACCACTATGAATGACTCAGTCAGGAGAAAAGATGAAGATGTATAGAGGAGGGCAGTTATATTTGGTTCCCAGAGCTATACAGTTTGCCCATGCCCTGTCATGGACAGAATTTCTTACATCAGCAGGTCCTGCTTGCACAGCTTCCCCAGTAGCTTTTTAGGGTGTCTGCAGTGCTTTTGTAGATAAAGGCACACAGGCAGGATCAATATGTCACAGTTTGCCCATGCCCTGTCATGGACAGAATTTCTTACATCAGCAGGTCCTGCTTGCACAGCTTCCCCAGTAGCTTTTTAGGGTGTCTGCAGTGCTTTTGTAGATAAAGGCACACAGGCAGGATCAATATGTAGAAGAATCTTGAAGCCAGGCAGGAGATACATCCAGTACCACTTCTTTCTGCTTATTTTATATTCTGCTGCAAGAAGGTGGAACATAAGCTTTGCCATGAGTAACCCAGGAAGCTCAGCTGTAAGTGGGGAGACCTCTTCATGGCCATGAACTTGATCTGATTTCTTCTGGCTTTTCTCCCTCAGGTCTGCCTTTTCCTCCTTAGCTGTCCTCCATACCTCAGTACTATTTTTCTGGTTCACTCCACTTTGATTCAACCAGTCCTTATGTCTTATTTCAGCTTAAATCTCAGAGAATGTAGGGGCAGTTTTCTTAACTCGATAAGGGGTAGGTACCAGAAACCTATAGCACACAGCACACTCTTTTTGAAACACAGGAAGCATTCTTATTACAGCCAGGGACAAAATAAGAATTCCTGTTATCACCACTATCATTTAACATCGTATCGGATGTCCTAGCCAGTGCAATATGACAAGAAAAAGAAATAAGAGTCAGAGTTGGGGAGTCCAGTTGAGTTACCTTATGTTCCTGATTATATGACTGGACTGATCTCAGATATCTCTAGAGGCAGAGTTTTCAATGCATGGAAGTCAGATATGGATCTTATCCTTTAGGAGTCTAGAGTTTGGGGGTGGGGGGAAGAACTGGAACTTTAAAATGAAGTCATTTGTAATAAGAGAGGTACGGAGAAGATTCTGTGGGAGAGAAGCGATTACTATCAGCTAGAGATACCAGGGAGGCTCTTTGAGAGTATGGGTTTTAAACTGAGCCTTGGAAGATGGATAGGATTATGAAAGTGGATGGAGTCACTGGACAGACCAAGAGGGTTCACAGTGAGGACAAGAAAGCATAGGAAATGTTTGGTGAATAGTGAGCAGACTGAAGGTATTATAGGCTGTGTGAGAGAGAGTCAGGAGAGGTAGCCTGAGGTCTGTCTCTGGAGAGTCTTAAATATCAGACTAAAGAGCAATTTTGCCTAGAAGCAATCTAGGAAGCCATTACTGTGGTGGTTTAGTCAGGGGAATGTGCCACGATCAGAGCTGTAGTTTAGGAAGATATATCTAGTGGGTCTGGGCAGGAAAGACGCAAAATGAGAGACTTTAAGCCAGGAAATGCTAGGAGCTTATTAGGTAGCCAAGGTGATGGGGGACCAGATTAGGGTGCAGACCTTGGGAATGAAAAAGAAGAGATGATGCCATGGATATTGTGGGAGTAGAACCAATGTGCTTACAAATCAATTGGCTGTCGTGGGTGAGGGAGGGGGAAACATCAGAGACGATTCTGAGGCTCCACGAATAGAAACAGAATAGTGTTTCTCTTCACAAGCAGGGAGTCCAGAGGAGGAGCTGGTCTGGTACAAGACGAAGCCTCAGGGTTAGATATGTTGAGTTTGAGGTGACAGTGGAGCCGCCGGGTAGAGATGTATGGAAGGCAGTTGAACATCTGGAACTGGAGCTTGAAAAAGTGGGAAGAGCTGTAGATTTTGGAGTCATTCTCACAAAGGTGAAGGTTAAAGCTTTGGGTGTGGATGAGACCTCTATGTTGGAGGGCATGGAGAGAAAAGAGCTTAGGAGGGACAGTAATGAGCAGAAGTGGAGTCTGTAAAGGGGACTGAGTATGAATGCTCAGGGTGGTGACAGGAGAACAGGAGAGTATATCATCACAGAAGTCAAGGTCTTAAAGGGTTTTAAGGAGGGAGAGTGGGAGGTTAGCAGTGTCTGGAGAGATTGGGAGGAGGAGGACTGAGAAAAATTCACTGGGCTTGCCAATGAGGTGGCCCCGGTGATTTTCAAAGGCATGTTTTCAGTAGAGTGGTGGTGACAGAAACCAGACTGCGAGGGACTGAGGAGTGAGTGGAGAGGGAGTGAAGACAGCGTGCCAGCTACTCTTTTGAGTGGTTTGTGATAAGGGAAGAGAATAGGAGCTAAAGAGAGTACCAAGATATTGGGGACTTTATTTGTAGTACAGGATGTCATGAGAATGCTTTTAGATAGAGGAGAAGGAGAAGGAGAAGGAGAAGGAGAGGTTGAATATGGGGGGAGGAAGGAGGAAAAAAAAGAGAGAGAAAGAAATTGATAGGATCGGGTCTCCAAAGAAGTAAGAGGGGATAGGCTGGTGGATAATTTAGGTTCAACCAGGAGGTGAGATACCTCTTCATGAAACAAGAGTAAAGGAGGGATAAAGATATAGAGAAATATTGGTGTCAAGTTTTGGGAGCTTGAATTGAGAACCCATTTTTAAAATATATTTCATTATGGAAATAAAAGATGAGTTCAAGGCCTATTTAGTCATTCATTCAACATGAGCTTTAATCTGTGCTACTTGCTAATCTAAGCTCTGGGAAAATGATGGCAAACAACAGGTAAAAATTCTTGCCTTCATTGTAGAGATGGCCGTAAACAAATAAAGCAGATGCATACATAATATGGCACGTGGGTGATAAGTGCCATAGAGGTAAAGCAGTGACATGCCAGTGAGGGTAGAGGGTGGGCGGGTGGTTGCACTTTACACAGGATGGTCAGGGAAGGCTTTGCTAGGTGGCGAGGGATTGTGCCATATGGAGCAGCAAGTGCAAAGGCCCTGAGGCAGGACTGTGCCTTGTGTGGCTGGAGTAGAGCGATGGAGGGGAGTGTAGTGGGACATGAACTCAGAGAGGCAGTGGGAATGGGGCAATCACAAGAGCTTTGTTTTTT